ATTGGGGTCAGTCTGTTGGTTGCCTTTAATGAGAGAAATTTGTAACTGTTAACATAGGTGGAAAAGTACTGAACAATCTTTTTTATCCTGAAAAGGTAGCATGTGCATCATATCTTCCAACATTTCACAGTACTCCTGTGACCAGCCAACATCAGAGTGTCTTCAAGATGGCAAAAGGTATTAATGGGGGGAGAAGACATGAGCTAGCAGAGGCTGCAGCCGTTTGCTTTTGCCTGAGTTTTCTGGGAAGGGCAAGATTCCACCTCTCCTCTCCACCTTGCAGAGTTAAGTTAGTGCAAACTATTCATGCACCTTGAACTCGGTTTGCAGCAACTGAATTTAGCCAGGACAAAGGAGACAAGGGAGAGAAACTAGGACTTTTTAAAAGCAGTTGCAAAAGTAAGGCAACAGAGGATTCATTGGGACCGTTCCTGCAATGAAGAAGGATTTCTTCACTCTCACCACCTCTGCAACATATGAATACGCAATCGTGTCCACCACCAACTGTGACCATTTCCCTATTTCCCTATTTCATTTTATTTGATTATTTCAAGTCTTTCCATGACTGCAATACGAGGGGTGGGATATACATTTTGCAAATAAATAAAGAATACAATCAGATTTTTTTTAAAATTCCAATTTTTAAAAGCCACTTAGGCATTTTGTTGTGCCGTAAGGTTCATGAGTTAATTGCATATTGGTGCGCAGAAAAACTCTCCATTTTGTTTACCTTCAATCTGCTTCTGATACGTTTCATTAGCCGATACCAAGGTCTCACACTTTGGAAAGAATGAATAATTTGATCTTTCTGCATTCCCTCGGCTCTCTTCATAATTTTATAAACTCCCTTCTCACAGCATCTCCAGCTAAAAAGTCCCCAACTGGTTAAGCAGTTCTTTTTAAAGACTGCTTGGATGGAGTAAATCGAGATTAATTTCTAAAAGTGAGAGGCCCCGGTTGTCTGAAACCCAGTCCTCCTAATCCCAAATGTATTTGGGATGGCTAAGGATATACAGCAGTGATGCAAAAACATATAAAATGTCCTTGGATTATGACCAATATCGTATGGATGTGTCCAGGCACTGAGACGTTCTACAGATACAATAGACTGCCAAAAAAGCCAACAAATGGGTTTCAGAGCAAATCAAATCTGAACTCTCCCTAGAAGCCAAGAGCACTAAAGTGAAGTTATTGTACTATGGCTCATCACGAGACAAAATGATAATGCATTGGAAAAGATGATAATGTTGGGTATAATGGAAGGCAGCAGGAAAAAAGGAAGACCCTATTACAAATGCGTTGATTCCATCAAGGAAGCCATGTTTCTGAGCTTGCAAGACCCAAATGGCACTGTGTTGTCCTTCGATACAAGAGCCACATAACACAACTAATGTATGATGCTACACACAGAGGTACAGTAGGTCCATGGTACCCACTGGGATTTTGTTCCTAGACCCTCTATGGATACCAAAATCCATGGATGCTCAAGCCCCATTAAATATAATGGTGCAGTAAAATGGTGTCCCTTATATAAAATGGCAAAATCAAGGCTCACTTTTGGGAATTTATATTTTTAGAATATTTTCAAGCCACAGATGGTTAAATCTGTGGATACAGAATCCGTGGATACAGAGGGTTGACTGTATATGGTACATAGCCCTGATCTTGGATCTTGACCAGAGTTGCATAATAATAGCATGTACTACTTTACATAAACAGATAGAAAACTGGAAATAATTTGGAGAGGACTCTTCTCAGTAAAAGTAGGCTGGATTTTGCCCAGAGAATGGCATTTTCTGTGCGTAAAAATGTTCTTTTCTCTGCAGAAGATCATGTTTTATGCACAAGATAATTCCTTCTTGCACAGAAAAATGCCATTTTCGAACACAGAAAAATGTGTTTTTCATGCAGAGTAAGTCCCACAGTGCAAAGATCCTCATCCAAAGTTCTCATCTGTATTTCCCGACACTCACATTTTTGTCTCTCGTTTGAATACTTCCCAATATTTCCCCCCATCCCTATTCCCCACTCTTGCAATCTGTCCCTGAAGGTGGCTGTCTGACTCTGCCTAATAGTAAAATAATTGAATAATGCCCACCTTAATTCCAAATTAACCGATGGACAGCTCCCTGACCTCCTTCTCTGTTTCCCTAACCTCTCAAAAGCACAGCTTGGAATAGTGTCCCTTCTTTCTTGATGTATTTTCTTCCTCCTCAATGTTTTTCCCCCCCCCGCCACCCCTAAAAGAAGGAAGAAAATAGTTAAATTTGTACCACTAATTTTTCAGCAGCATTCCTGTGTCAACAGTAGGAATTGTTGGGGCCTTCTGATGTTATGCATGAATGATATAGTTAATGAAAAGACCCGGAAAAGCGTCGGTATTTCTTATTAATGCTTTCTCTTCTGTCCTCCCCACTCCTTCCCCACCACCACTCCCCACATCCCCATCTTAAATTAATTTCATGGTGGTGGAAAGTGCCAAGCTCATAACTCAGAAGAATGAACAATTCTCTTAATCTACTGAGGAGGTATAGCTTTGGGGGGCCACCATTTGGGCCAAGATTAATGCCGCTCGAAGAGAAAAGGCTGAGAAGTAATTATTTTAAGGCCAGGCGCTTTAATAGAGCTGTCCCCATGGACGGGAAGGGAGGCATCCAATTCCAAATGAGATCTCTTCCAAGGTCACTGACCTGGACCTTTGGCTCAAGCGGTCAAGGAGCAATATTGCGTTGAATAGATTCCAGCACCCCCAACCCTGCTGTGAGTCGAGACAATGTGATTGCGGAAGTCCTGGGTTAAGCTGCTTTGGATTTGAACCTGGGACCCAAAGGTGACAAAGGGGAGAGTTCACGTTACACTTTTAAGGCTGGTGGTTCACTTAAAAGAAACTTCTCCACGATTGCGCTTGTCCGTGCCTGCTTTTCGTTGTGACTAAGTGGCTCCCATGTTGGTGGGGTGGTGAATCTTCTCTGGGTTTTAGTACAAACTTCAGAGGAAGAGATAAGGTTGAGCACCTTGGATAGCTCAAAGAACGTTTAGGTTCATGCCTGGAGTGGTTTCGCTGCCCCACTGAAATGGGAACCATTAGCCACCATGGCATCCTTTGTTTCCAATGGAGTTAGTAGGTGCGATGTGGGCACCTAATGTTTAACCCAGAGATTCCCAAACTTTTGTCCTCCAGATGTTTTGGACTTCAGCTCCCAGAATTCCTGACAGTTCGCCAAGCTGGCTGGGGCTTCTGGGAATTGAAGTCCAAAACACCTGGAGGACCAAAGTTTACGAAGCAAAGTCCTCCCCTTTATTTACACCTTCACTCCATTTTCCATTTTCCTCTTGATGCTTTATTAACCCATCCTGATCTCCATTTCTTGAAACGGAGGACTTTGTTCTTTGCAGAATCCATCAATACAGATACAGCATCCATGGATACAGAGGGCTGGTTGCATAAGGTACATAACCCTGATCTTGGATCTTGACCAGAATTGTATAATAATAGCACATGCTCCTTTACATAAACAGATAGAAAGCTGGAAATAATTTGGAACTTCTGCCTGAACGATAACATTTTGAATTCCACAGAATTAAATCTCCCTGCATATACTCTGGAGACCAGGGTTCGAATCCCAGCTCAGCCATGTAAACCCACCAGGTGACCTTGGGCAAGTCACACACTCTCAGCCTCAGAGGAGGGCAATGGCAAACCCCGTCTGAAGAAATTTGTCAAGAAAACCCTCGTGATAGGTTCGCCATAAGTCAGAGACACCTTGAAGGCACACAACAACAACTCCTCCAGGCTGCAAGAAAACTACTCCTCCCTGCTCATAGAAAGCCAATATGTCAGGGACAAAAGGTGGGTCTACATTAGGTGGGTATTTTGGCCCTAAAACTGCTCTTGCTACCTGGAAATTCAGGAGTGATGCTGTGCCATCCAGGTATGCTGACATTAGTATGGGTCGCTTCCTTGGAAGCTGGATATGAGGCACCCAGCGTCAAATATTTTTAGAGGTTATTCACACTGTGAAAATCATCCAGGATGAATCTGGGTTGAATCTCTGTTGTTCACACACATCCCAAATGCACCCAATTAAGGGTTTTGGGGTTTTTTTTGTGTGGGGGAGGTTGCCAAAAAGCCCACTTAATCCAGGATAATTCATATGAGGGTTATGAAATGAAAGGGTTATGATATGAAATGAAAGGGTTATGATATGAAAGCCTACGACTTCACGATATGAGGGTTTTCCTTGAATTTTTTAAAAAAGATCTGCATCATTGGTAGTGTGAATAACTGATGCAAAAAGATCCGAATAGACCTGGGATAAAATGCTGCATGCCTTGAACGTGTTCTGAATGCATCTGCATCATCAACTCCATCTTTATTTGAATGCTTGTGTGGGTGAGTAACCAAACTTGCAGAGATGCGGATCGATGCGATTCAATAGTGTGAATAACAAACCCAGAATGCATGAGTGAAATGATTCGCATTGTCACGCTAAAAACAACAACATTGGAATGATCCCTTAGAAGATCCGGAACAAATGGTGAGGTTTTTAAAAATCACATAACAACATTATTTATCTCTTACCCACCTCTCTCTATGGACTGAGGCGGGGAACAACAACAATTTAACGTTAACCATTTAAATTTAATTTTAACACAAGGATAGCCCAGATTTGCTTAGGAAATGCCCTTCCCATGTGAAGATAGTCTGCAGTTGAATCAAAAGACAAAGTGACACAAGGGCAGAGGAAATAGGTTTTCATGACCCATGTAGACAAGCCCAAAACTTTTCGGGGGAAATGCTCTTATTCTAGACTACAGCTCCCAGGGGCCTTGCTGGCTAGAGGATTGTAGGAGAGGTAGTCCAAAACCAGTAACTTTTGCAAACTCTGGCCAGGGAGAATATTAGCGGTATCCTTCTCTGTGACATGTCTGTTCTCTCTGGAGAAAGAAATTTTTGCATGGAGGAATATTCAACGGCAGTGACTACCTTACCCCTGAGAGTCAATGTGGTGTAGTGGTTTGTGCATTGGACTGCGACTCTGGGGACCAGGGTTCAAATCCCTGGGGGACCTTGGGCAAGTCACACTCTCTCAGCCTCAGAGGAAGGCAAAGCAAACCCCCTCTGAAGAAACTTGCCAAGAAAACCCTATAATAGGTTTACCTTAGGTTTGCTATAAGTCAAAAATGACTCGGAGGCACACAATAGCCACCTTTTCCCACTGGGTAAGGTGTCTCGGGTAAAAGATTGTAGAGGTGGGGAGTAGGGGATGGGAAGAGTATTCAAAAGTATTCAAATTAGAGAAAAGGAGGATACAGGATGCATTAGCATCTCTGCAGTATGGGACTTAATCTTTCTTCTCCTGTTTATTTTCTTATTCTAAAGCAACTACTTTTTTTTGTTAAAAAAATTATGATATTTTAAAAAGCATCAACAATCCCTGAATTCTACAAAGTGACTGGAGAAAAACATATTCTCCTCCTGTCTGCATTGTTGTTCCTGCACCAAAACAGAGACTGAGCCAGCACCTGAACCATGTGATACTCCTCCTCCATCCTTTAAACTACACTTCAATGAAAATGCATTTGGATGGTAATAGAAGATACTTTAAAAGCGAACAGTTATGCTGGACAAAGAGTGACATTTTCCTTCGTTATCTCATAATCATCATGTAATGTAGTTTGACATTTGCTATTGGGGGAAAGAACTAATTACAAATAAGTTTTCAGGAATAGCTGAGTGAAAGACTTTGGCCTCGTTCCCACTATGATTGAAAGCGAATTGCTGATCGGGTTATATGACTGTCGTTCCCACTTGAAATCATTTCCGATCCTATTGAGCTTGGTTTCAATCGTGATGAAACGAGGCAAACACAAAAAATCCCGCTGTTTCCTGACACTAGTTTTTTGGCGGTTCTTTTGAAAAGAATTGATTCCGAAGCATGTTCAACAAGTGGGAACGACGGATTTGAATCGGATCATATTGGATGGGAAGGACTAATGGCAGAGGGATGTTTACCATCCCAGCTCAGTCTTTGGGAAATCAGCCATTCCCCCCCCCCCCCCCCCCCCCCCCCCCCCCCCCCCCGGTGCTGCCTTTGTGCTTATGGTGTGACCTATGGGCACATTTTATATATATTAAAAATTGACAGAATATGTGATCTTTCGTATTTGCAACTAGCAATTATGGGCAGTCCAGCTCAGCGAGCAAGTAGTTGCAAAACCAATGGATTGCATATCCTGTCATTATATATATAAAGACTCAGTTGCTAAAGTCGCCCCACTTGGCACCTGGAACGGCCCCATCCTCACCATGTTGCTGCTTGTGTCACCGATGACGCGCAGATGATTGACATGCATTTTGAAGTGGCGCAAACTAGTGGGAACAACAATTGTGCCAAAAAAAAAGTGATTACAAGGAAATAATGAAAAGATCCACTTTCATAGTGGGAACAATAGACCTTTTGGAATCGATTCACCGGCAGGGAGTGAAGGCAAATCGCAAACTGGTTTAAATGTAAGTGAGAACGAGCCCTTTGTTGCACAAGCTTTTGTAGATTTGGTCTACTTCCTCAGTTGTATGAAAACGTATGCTACAATTCCTTTTGCTCAGTTAGTCTCAAAAGGTGCTGCAAGATCCCATTGCGTACTCATATTCCAGACATGGCTAAGTCTCTGAAGTTTTCAGGAGTTTGTTATTACCATTGTCTTTGAATAGACCTGTAATACTGTTGTTGTTGTTCTGTGCCTTCAAGTCATTTTCAGCTTATGGTGACCCTAATGTGTCTCAATCATGAGGTTTTCTTGGCAAGATTTGTTCAGAGGTGGTTTGCAATTGCCTTTCCCTGAGGCTGAGAGTATGTGATTTGCCCAAGATCACCCAGTAGGTTTCATGGCCAAGCTGGAAATTGAACCCTGGTCTCCAGAGTCATAATCCAACATTCAAACCACTACGCCACATTGGCTCTCAGACCTCTCAGATAGAGGTTTACAGACTTCCAGTTTTCCAGATGGTTTGGACTTCAGCTCCCAGGAGTTCTAACCAGTATGGCCAGTGCTCAAGAATTCTGGGAATGGGAGTCCCCAACATCTGGAGGACCAACGTTTGAGAACCAATGTTCTAACAACACATTTCAAACTCGAAAACCACTCCTCACATCAAGATGGTATGGCTGGGCTGTTTGGCCACCTGTCACTAGCTGAAGAACAGGGATGGTAACTGGCTGGAAGTTTTCTGTGTGGGAAAACATGCTCTTCTGCAAAGAAAAGAATCTTTTCTATGCAGAAAAATGCCATCCCCTGGAGTGGGAAGAGGGCTTTATTGTTGTTGCTGTTGCAAAGAATAAGTCCTGAACAGCTCCTAGTCCTTGAAAACTGTGCAGTTTTCAAAGACTTTCTTGCAGGGGGAGAGACATAGCAAAGTGATTCATTGTTCTCTGCTGAGAATGAAATTTATGATGGCAGCAAGGTGGGCAGTGTCACTAAGGTGATGGAGGACCAAGTTATGTGAACCAAATAGCTTGCCTTCAGATGGAGTGGAAGAAGAAGGCATCTCACTGCCTTTGTTGTCATTGGATTCAATGTGCAATCCAGTTGCCA